AGAGAGAGAGGTCGGGTGGTTGGGCCAGTTCCAGGTGAGGGGCCAGGAGTTCGAGAGGAGGGAGATGGGAGAGGTCATCCATATCCAGAATGCTTGGAAGCGGTTCCTGGAGTTGTAAGGCGGAACTGGGAAGGTGAGGCATTGTTTCTAGTATAGGGGGACTCAAGGGCTTATCACCAGTGAGTTACCTTTTTTTGTTTGCCTGGATTCTCTTTCACTTTTGCAGACCTCGAGGTCTGTTTAGAGGCTTTAGATTTTTTTCTCAGCTGCTCCTCAAGGGAAGCGTTTGCCTGAGTGGAATCACGCCTATCCCCAGCTTGTGGGGAGGGAGGCTGAAGAGGCTCTTGAATCAAGGAGGATTGGGAGGGGGCAGGGGCCATCTGGGGCGCTAGGGCCCGCTCATAAAGTAAAGCTTTTAAACGAGCATCCCTGCCTTTGCGAGCCCTGGTTGTGAAGCTCAGGCAAATTTCACACGTCTGGAGATTGTGAGTCTCTCCCAGACAGAGGAGGCATTTAGTATGCCTATCAGCCTCGGGGAGGGTAGCCCTGCAGGCCGAGCAGTTTTTAAAGTAAAGGGAAGACATCTAGCCTGTTAAAGAGAGAGAGTAGTCGAGCCGGTCCGTGTCCAGGAGAGGAGAAGGTAGGTAATCGAAGAAAAAACAGTCCAATGGTCAGAGAAATCTGTAGTTGAAGAGCGAAGTCCGAGAGACGCTGCCTGTTTGGCGCGGAAAAAGGAACTAGCCAGAAGCCGCACGCCGCGGCGGATACGCCAAGGGGGCAGGGACATGGGTGGGGCTTCCGTGTCCATGGAATAATCATTTAAAATAATCATTTAAAAATTCATTAAATCTTAGAATGTCCGGATTGCTGCGCAGGCGCAGGGGAGAACCCATAGGTGCGCATTTCACAGAATACACGAAGAAAAAATTGAAATCAATAATTTGTTATGATCCCATCAATCTAGTGGTTGACATAAATAAAATATATAATTCTCTAGAAAAGGCCCACAACCAATATTCATAAGAGTTTAAAGCAGCCGTTGTTTTTTGGGGCTGGAAGAAGTATTTGATTATAACCAAACCAGAAAAGAAGAGTAGACAAGGAGTCCATTACTTAAGAGATCACATCTGCAGACTTTGGATAGACAGATTTCAATACACAGGAATGAGACTCTGGATTTATCACATAGGTTCATTCAGAACAAGGGAATAAACAGAACAAGGAAATAAAATCTCATATTTGGAATTATATTGTTTCTCCTCAGTATCATTAAAAGCTGATACAACCTAACTTTTCACATAGAATCAAACAAAACCAGAACTTACAGTTTCTAGCCTTGGTGCTGTAGACACCTCCATCTCTTCCTTTCTTTCCACTCCATTCACCATCACTGCTGGAACAATGCAGATAATGTATTTAAGGACTATAATCTGCATACTTGATAAACAAGCATACTGGAAATTATAATACTGTGAAAACTAGACGCTAGAATATTTAATAAAATCCGTACATTTATGACTTTCTGCAGACTTCTCCATTTCTGTACAAAACAGCTGGCTGATGGTGATATTTCTCAAAGCGGTTACATCAGAGATCATATCTTGGGATGTCCTTAGATCATCAATATGCACAGACTGCCACAATCCTAACGAGGGAAAACAAGGTTTGCGAACTATAACTCACACTGATACAAAAATATCCTTAAAATTCTTTAGCAAGGAACAGAGATGAGCTTAAATACATATGAGCTCAGAAACAGTGATTTCATATTTCTTCTGCTGTTTCACAAGAACAGTGACTGTTATCAGAAGAGTTAATTTATAGTACATGAAATATCTAATTGTAATGTAGACCGAAGAATGACACAAGATGTGAGAATATGCTTATAAGAAAGAAGGGTCCACAGATGGCTCATGCAATCAAAAATGTTCCTTAGATTACATTATTGGATGTGATTGTTATTTCCTGAGGTTGTTTGTGCTTTAGGAGAAAGGGGGGAAAAACACTAAAGTATTGGGTAACAAAATGAAAGGATTCTCAAATAAATGCATTGTCTTTTGCTATAAATTGTCTAGTTAGGTATTTACAACTGTTGTTGCACCCATATCAGTGTTGTCTTTGTTTTAATAGGTCCAAGAGCACTACGCATTACTTGGAAAACTAGTATTTATTCTACATCATTTTATGCAATCTTACCTCCATGAAAGCCCACATAGTTACTTCCTCCTTCAACTCGTAACAGTTTAGTGATGAAAAATACAAACACTGAGGCTTCGCTCAGATCTATCTTGTTGATTTCATTAACAGCCGAATACCTGTACCACAAAGGAATTTGCATTAATGGAGAAAACTAATTATACCTGTCCTACTGATCATGGGAAACTACCATCCAATCTTTATTTTGTTTCATTATGTAATACTTAGCTACCTGTCACTTCAACAAACAGTAAGAGCTCTGTTAGATTCACATAGCAATACAAACATTTATACTTTTCCATGAATATTCTTAAGTTTGTTGTTATATACGGAAATTCTTAAATTCAACCCTGTGGGTTCAACATTGGTCTAATGAAAAGGCTGGAGACAATCAAATCATTCTCCAACATACTTGGCTGAAGCAACGAGCTGGGCACTGAGAGATCCATTTTCAAAGTCTGTCTGGATGATCAGGATTTTACATCCATGTGTGGCATCAAGAAAACTCCTAGAAGAAAACATCAATAGATGACATATTAATGGTTAGAAACATTATAGTTATTGTTGTTACTATTATTTTGCTATTGTGGCAGTGAAACACAAACTCACACCTTTACCCCTGCCATATAAAATAGCTTTTTTTGATCTCTAATGAATTCCAGTATCAACAACAGAAAATACTATAACATTCCAAAATTTTATCGTCATATACAATGCAGTCTACAAACTCACCGGATTTCTTTCAAAAATGAATGCTCTGTGTCAAATTGTTGCAGGAACATAATTTTGATGTTGTTGATATTGCCATGTATTTCTGTCTTCAAAGACTCTGTGTCTATTGCTGTCAAAAGTCTGGAGAAAGTAGTAATCTAAAATAGTAAAGAAAAAAGCCAGTATTTGCATAAAACAGTTTATGTCCACGTAGGATACCACTTCGGAAATGAATAGAATTCGATGACCAAAGCAACAAGCTTAGTTTTCATCACTTAAGCCTGTGCAAGCCCTTGTGTTTCTTCTTAGGTCTTTAGAATAAAAAATATAAAGTGCATCTGATGAACAAGATCAAACTAATAATGCCTCTCTAACTTTGTTTATGAATATATTAAATAACAAGTAACATTTTTTAGAAGAACTAACCTCAATAAAGACTGTGTGACCTTTGGATTCTGCACCAACACAAGCATTGAGAAAATCTGCAAGGGAAGTATGCTGCTGTTGTTGAAAGTACATCCTTGCCAAATCATGTGTCTGACAGGAGCCCAGCCGTGAATGACCAAGACGGACTATGGAGTCTGGCGTTGCACAGTTCAGCAGTACCAACTTTGCCTCTTCTTGTACTTTTCTCATGAGTTCCTGAGGAGGAAAATCCACTTTCAGCTTTTCTGTCACCTGCAGAACTACTGAAGCACAAGTATCAGAATGGTAGCCAACAAAGACATCAGAAGGTGTATATTTCTGCTGACCAATGAAATACGTTTGTGTTTCAACCACTGTGAAATCATTGACCCATTTCTTCAGTTCTTCCACAATACGCCTTTGCCACTTCTCCAAGACAGTGTTAATATCTAAGTAGTGTTTTTCAAGCCTATTGATCAATGGTATGGGGAAGTGTTTGTACACCACCTCTTTCTCCTCAATGACAATCAAACGGAACTTAGGATGAACTCGGCATTTCACGCGATGGGTCCCTAAACCCAGGTCCACATATTTTTGACCAGCAAGTTGAACATAATATTGGTTCAATGCGTCATAGAGGCTCTCATAAAGATTCTGGAGATTAAGAAGGATAACCATCTGCCCGGTTTCCATACAGATTTTCACTCGGTTAATGTTTCTGCAGATCTGAGTATATTCCTGGTCTTTGGGAAAGCTGGAACCAAAAATAATCTCTGGTTGCTGAGTATCTTTAAAAAAAGCTTGTTGGAGAATCTGAAGTGCTACATAATTTTCTGTCAACAAGAGCAGGTACCGGCATTCACCATCCTGATAGTCACTGTAAATGTTCTGCTTGACTAGATCAATTGTGTTGATGTCTTCAGAGATGAGGTCTCCTTTTTCTGGGATCTTAGACATAAAAATTTTCAAGGCATCAACATCTTCTTTGCCACTGAAATTACGGAGAACCACTTCTGCTATCTCACGAGGAGTTAGTGATCTGTTAGATGTTTTTGTTAAAGTAAATACCATCTTTATCAGGCTGTAATAGTCACGCAATCCAAAGAACTCCTTACTTTGCTCCTTGCAAACATCTTCATATGCTTTTGCAAAGATGGAGAAGAAACATTCAATTTTCTGTAGGACAACACGTTCTGAAGAGCAAATGCCCTTTGCACTTTCTATGAGTTCCTTTCTGTTAGGGTCACCACGGGAAACAAAGATGCCCCGATTCATTTTAGCTGGATCCAGAGCCCAGTTAGATATTCCAATGAAGCCTACTTTCTTATGTGGTAGTGGCTCATCATCAACACATCCATCTTCCAAGAGTGGATGCAGTGTTTTCAGAGGCATTTTGGGTGAGTCTTCAGCCAAGCCAATTTCATCTAACACTACCACAGAAACATACTCTTTCAGGTTCTTGCCTTCTTGAAAGCGAGCACAGTGCTTGAAAGTGTTTATGATTCCCTCTGGTGTAGAGTGTGGGCTGCACTGAAAAGACACTAAATGAATTTGTTTCAGCTCCTTATAAAGCTCAGAATATGCTGCTTGGCCTTGCATGGCATCAGCTACAATGGTCTTAGCAAGAGATTTTGAGCTCCCAGGCTTTCCAATGAGGAACAATGGGATTTTAAGTTCAATGCAGATAACCATCATGAAGACATTTTCTTTCAAGGCCAGGTTTCTGGCTATTGTATCCCTCAGGGGTGCACCACTTAAAAAAAGATCTTGAACTAAGCCAATTTCTTCAAAAATTCCCTTCTCGGTAGCATATGGCTCTGGGATGAATTTGCTGATGATTGTTCGGTACTCTTCTTTCCTTTCTAAAGAAGCATGGTAACAAACACCAACTGAAAGAACCAAGGACCAAATGACTTTGTCTCTTGGGACAAAACCTTTGGTAGTGTTCTTCTTTGCCAAGTACTTCTCCAGATGCCTCATCAATAGCTCACTGTGGCCATGGAACCACTTAAATACTTCCACACAGCGTTCCACATCTCGAAGGCTGATGAAACTGCATTCATCAGTCCTTTTTCTCATATAAGCCTGAGACTCAAAAAGCACATCTGCTATTATCTGGACTTCAGTGCTAGACATTTTTATTGACTTGGTAAGTCTCTGTACAATCTGCTGTATGTATAATTTTTCAGTGAAGTTGTTTAATTGCCCAAAATCCCACACTAGGGGCAACATGCTAGGAGGAAGTGCATGGACACGGTATACAAGTTGCCTAAGAGGAATGGAGCCAAGCTTCTCTTTTGTCTCCCCTGCCTTGACACGGTACCCTAAACCTGCTGATTCCAAGCGCTGAATCATTTTGTTGGTATGCCTACGATAAGGATTGCATGCAGCTACAACCTGCAAGCCTGAGTTGTGGAGCAAAGGTTCTCCTTGTATTGTGTGATCACACAGGACTTCTTTAATGCTGCAGATAGCTTCAGTAGTATTGGCTTCATCAAAAAATAAGATTGTGTTAAACTGATATTGTTGCTTATTGTCATTAGCAAGAATTTCTGCTTCCCTGACATTTGCATAGATTGATTCTGCTGTGGTGCCTCCGTGGACTTTGACAAGCTTCATGTTATCAGCATTGGCACTGCTTTTGCGTAATTCACACAGGAATTTTATTAGCCTGGTTTTTCCACAGCCAGTTTCTCCCATGAGGACAACAGGGATTCCACACCGGAATCGCATCTCCATTGCAAGGATCTTTAGTATATTGTCTGTTGTGAGTTCATATGTATCATCAGGATCAATGGGCCATTGGATACCCAGAACCATGCAAAGTTTCTCGATTTTCTCATGTCTGGGCAATGCATCAAAATCAATGTTAAATGGAACTTTCTGCAGGACCAGTCCCTGGTACAACTGAGTAGTCATCACATTTCTCTTGATAACATTTCCATTCAAAGGATTGATGGCATCAATGCCACCATTGGCATTGGGCTGGAGATGAAAACCAATGAATGTCATGGATATACAATCATCATTGAAAAATATATATGGGTGAGGTTCGCATTCCCATTTTTTCCTAATCTGAAATGGAGCAAGATCTTCTTCTGTGACTCCTTTCATATCAACAAATGACTGCCCAGGACTCTCATCAGAAATGCTGAGTGAAGGCGTTGCAAAATCCTTTGCCATTAAAATCATAAAATGAACCACAAAATTTTTGAAACCCTGCAATGTGTCCTGGACAAAATCAGCATTGCAAAACAATGAGGTTTCACAATTTCTGAGCTGAAGGTTCAAAAACCATGCAAAGTTCCTTAGTTCTGACCAAGAAGGGTCTATCACTCCACAGTGTATCAGAAACAGCTGTAAGCATTCTGCAGGGGTCCCTTCAACTAAACCTTCATATTGGAATCTGTCAAGATTCTCCCCTGTATTGACTCTTCTTAAATATTGAAATGGTCTCTGAAAAGCTTCACTACAAAACACTTCATAATCTGTTCCTGGATCTGAGGAGCTGTGCGATTTCCTCTGGGTTTCCATTTCTAGTATTTCTTTGGGAGGTCTGCAGATTATTTTTGGGAATACATCAAGGAAGTTGTATTTCAATCCAGGGAAAATCTAAAAAAAGTGCAAAAATAGAAAAGATTAAAGATCATAGTAAGTATAGAAAAATCATTCATTTATTCCTTTATTTTTCTCCTTTCTCATATGTTTTATTATTTTTTAAAAAAATATCTATTCAAGGCAGGCTAGCCACAGGGCTGGGATGATTTTTTTCCCCATATGGTGTCTGTGTTTAATGTATTTTGTGTGTTATATTTTTAAAAACACAATAAAATTTACCATACATTTCTTTCACAAATTTTGTTACTAATTTCAATACTAATGTGTGATTTTAATGCTTAAATGATATATTTTTAATTCCATGTTTTATTGTTAAATAATGTCATTTTTATTATTTAATTGATAATTGTATGTTATTATCATTATGTTAGGTTTCTGTATGTGAGGCATTAAATTTTGCCATAATTATGTTGGAAACCACTTAGAGTCCCCTGCTGGAGTGAGAAGTATAGGTTGCTTACCTGTAACCATATTTCTTCGAGTGTCCATCTGTGAAATCCACACATATGGGTTTCCCTGTGCGCATTTGCAGCAATTCAGAATACTCTAGAATTGTTTACTATTTTTTATTCAATTTTTGGCGGAAGCCCCGCCCATACTCCCAGTAGTATATAAGCACGAAGGTGGGGCTTAGCTTCAGTTCCTCAGTGCAAGACAGCAGCCAAGGAAGAGGCATGACATAAGCGGGGAGGACGGATGGGGTTGTGTGGATTTCACAAATGGACACTCGAAGAAATATGGTTACAGGTAAGCAACCTATACTTCTTCGTCATGTCCTCTGTGAAATGCGCACATATGGGTGAATAACAAGCTACTAACCTGGAGGTGGGTCATGCCACACAGGAGAAGAGTACTGCTCTGCTGAAGGCTGCATCTTTCTTGGCCAGCAGGTCAAGCTTGCAGTGGGAGGCAAATGTTAATGGTGTAGACCATGTTGCTGCCTTACAGATTTGTTCCAGTGGAACTCCCCGTAGAAAAGCTTGAGAAGTGGATACTGACTGGGTCGAATGTGCTGTAAGGTGAGCAAGTGGGTCTTTGCCTGTTAGTTGGTAGGCCAATTGGATTGTAGATATAATTCCAAGAAGAAAGTTTTTGGGAGGTTACCGGATGGCCTATGGTATCATTCCTATACTTTAAAAAAATCCTAAGAGATTTCCTATAAGGAGCTGTCCTAAGTATATAAAAGAACAGTGCTCTCTTAACATCGAGGGAATGAAGGGCGATCACCAAGGGAGATGAGGGATTGGAAAAAAAGGAAGGTAAGGTAATATCTTGGGACATATGGAAGTAGGACACTACCTTCGGGTGGAAGGTGACGTCGGTACGCAGAATGACCTTATCATCATAGAATAGAATATATGGGGGGTCTGCTCAGAAAGCGGATAATTCACTGGCTCTTCTCGCAGAAGTAATTGTTATGAGGAATGCTGATTTCCAGGAATGGTGGGAAATATGGCTGGAAACCATAGGATCAAAGGAAGGTTTAGACAGCTGGGAAAAAACTAGCTCTAAGCTCCAAGGAAGGGTTGGAGGTGAGGTAGGAGGGTGGAGGTTTTTACAGCCCTTAAGGAATAGTTGGATAAGATTGTCATGAAAAAGGGAAGGCAAGTTTGTCTTCCTTCTAAAGGAAGATAGGACAGCTAGGTAGCATTTAATGGAGGAAAGTGAAATCCCTTTAGTGGAGAGGTGAGAAAGAAAATCCAATATCAGTAGTGGGATAGGGGCTGAGGTTGGGTCATATCCTGCAGATTCAGCAAAAATGGACCATTTGTAGGCATAGGCCTTCTTTGTAGAAGGTTTATGAGCTGCCAGGATTATGCAAGAAGCTTCATCAGAGTGAACTAACGTGGCTTGATCCTCCACACCATTAGATGGAGGGAATGTGGGTCTGGGTGGTGTACTAGACCTGGAAAGAGTGGGAGGAGTGAGAGGCGGAGAAAGAATAGAGGTGCTAAGGTGTAGTGCCGTCATCATTGGCGCGTAGGGATACCGAGGCAAAAGGGGCCTAGAAACTGAGGAGGACTGGAGGATTGTTCTCTGGCACCAAGATCGGGCCATAAAAATAGGCCCAGCCCCCAGGGGACTGATGGATGGATTGGTCCCTGGGTTGAGAGTTGTCCCCAGAGGCCCCATGCCAGGTGCCCAGGCTGCTGGAGGCATGGCCACCCCTTGGGGGGGGGGGAAGGGAAGGTCGGGAGGCCATACTGAGAAGGGCTGAGGGACCGAAAGGGAGAGAGGGCCGGGAGGCCTGGTCGGTCCAGGAGAGAGGGGTCACCGCGGCCTATCTCAGTGGGTCATGAGTCCGCGGCATGGTGGTCCTAAGCCTCCAGGTACATGGAGGCAGTCAGCGGGACCAGTCGAGGCAAAACCTAGGGGCACGGGGCTACCCCCGTGCTGGGGGTGGGTGGGCTGTGACCACTGCCAGGACCAAGGCCTGTACCACTGGGCTCGGCGTGCGGTGTGACCACTGCGCCGAAGTGGGTGTCTCCGGCGAGGCTTGCAGTGGCAGGCGGGCCGCCTCCAGCTCCGCCTCTCTCCTCTTTTTCTTCTTTGCCTTGGAGGAGAAAGGGTTGGTTGGCTCCAC